ACGCTTCCGCACCTTTTCTGAGGCTAGGCTGCTGCGGACGCAGCTCATCTGGCAGCCACATGACGATGGGGCCGAAAGCTCGGCTTTCCTAGCGCGCAGCGTCGCCTCATCTTGCCGCGCCGCTTCCTTTCAATCGTAAAATTTAGCCTCGTAATCATGGGCCGTTTTTGCAAGCATATCTATAGCAAACGCGTTCATCGTATGGCACATACATCGCGTTCCTCGTAGCAACAGCTGCGCCGCCGCAGCTCCGGTAGGTACTTCCGCTTGTTGTTGCCGTAATGCTTGAGTACTGCAGGCAATGCTGCTGCCGGAAGTGGCGGTAGGACGTGAAGACGCGAAGACGAACGCAGGCACTGCCAACCGCCTTCACTTCAGCAGAATGTAGAACTGGTGTGCGCAACAGAAAATCTAAATTTAGTCAGTGTCAGTTATTTATTTCGTAATAAAACACGGGCTAGATTAAGTTCAATAAGCTGTAATAAGCCATCGATGCTACCCGTTCTTACGCAAAACACGCGCGCGTTTCTCTAGCAACGATAATTAACGTATGTTAATGCTAAGGTTCCAGTGAAAAATTACGCTTTCAGTGCTGCTGACACGGCATATGAACTGGTCACCACCTCTTGGCATGCAGAAACAAAATTTATTAGCTTGTAACAGTACCAAGCGATACCAATTATCAGATGCGTAAGTCAACAGATCCACACAGATAATTTCTCCAGAAACGTTTTCCAACCTGGAGAGTTCAACTTTTTCAAGAGCTCGAGCAATGAATGGAATGATGATCAATTTTTTATGGAGTTGGCTCGTGGCATATATGGACACGTATTTAGCGAATGCGCACTAATTGTGATTCAGGCTCGTTAAAGAAATGTCCTACTTCTGCAGGTAAGTTGCATGCAGAACCCAACGTATGTTACGAAATCCACTAATGCTTCTATTCGTCAGAACATCAATTTCTTACAGTAAGCCAGAAAATATCTGGCCAGATATTCTGAGCTGAGCTTTCGTTTTACAAAGAGTCTCTCGTACCTGCGCAGCTCAGCTTTGTTCCAACAAGAAGGCAAGGACAGTGCTGAATAGCATCGACGAAAGGACATTTCATTGGTTGATGTCATAATCTTCAGTTCAGACGAACACAGCGCCAACAGCGATGTGGCCCACTTTCACTTTCAACACGCTTCTGCGCCGCAAGCAAGTGTCATCAACAAGGAATGAAT